GCAGTTCTCCCTCTCTACTCTGCCCTGGTGAGGCCACATCTGGAGTACTGTGTCCAGTTCTGAGCCCCCCAGTTCAAGAAGGACAAGGAACTGCTGGAGACAGTACAGCAGAGGGATACAAAGATGGTCAAGGGGATGGAGCACCTGGGTCTTTTCAGCCTGAAGAAGAGAAAGCTGAGGGGGGATCTTATCAATGCTTATCAATATCTAAAGGGTGTCAAAAGGATGAGTCCAGACTCTTTTCAGTGGTGCCCAGCAACAGGATAAGGGGCAACAGTTCCACAAGCAGGAACAAAGAAAATTCTGTCTCAACATGACAAAAAACTTTTTTACTTTGAAGGTGCCAGAGCCCTGGAACAGGCTGCCCACAGAGGTATCTTCTCTGGAGATATTCAAACCCTGCCCGGATGTGCTCCTGTCCGACCTGCTCTGGGTGACCCTGCTTTGGCAGGGGTTTGGACTAGATGATCTCCAGAGGTCTCTTCCAACCCCTACGATTCTGTGACTGCTTTGGTGGGATAGCCCAGATGCCAGAAATATAGCACAATAAGAGCTGAACGTCTGAAGTTCAGTTGATGTATTGGTTAACTGAGCAGTCAACAGCCTGTTATTTAATATTTGCCTTCCACATTATCCCACGGGAGCCCTGAGAAGGCTGGGTTACGAGGCCAAGTGAGCATGTTAAGATGCCCCATGTGTGAATACAGCCGTGTACACAGGGAGGATGCACAACCAGAGAGCAGCTGAGCATGCACGCATTGAGAGAAGGAGCGTGATTGTAAGGGTGTTTCCCAGCAGGTGGGTGCTCATCTGAAGGCACCACAGTAAGTAAATATCAAAGGAAAAGCATAACTAGAGTAACCATTTGAACTCTCTTCAAGACTCAAAGACACGGAGGTAGGGGGTATGCTATTCTTTTCACACTAACCCATCAGCAACGGCTGGGTTTGCAGCAACTGAATGCGTGCACTACAGGAGAGGATATTAGACCAGATTTAAGAATTAAGGCTATAAAGAAGAAAGTTAATCTTTTCCTCTGCAGCAGACTAAGAAGAGGGAAGCAATAAAAAGGCTTGAACTGCAAGACTGGTGCTGAGCAAGTCCCAGGTTTCCAGAGTGAGGAGGGGAAAGCAAATGAAAGGGAACACGAGGCAAACTTCCTTCTGGTGTGTGTTTGGAGTCCCCTTTGCTGCAAGGTGCTGCCTGGCTGCCGATTATTCTAATGCTCTCCTCTTGTAAAAATTATGCATAATGTGAGGAAACTTTTAAAGTCACTTAATCATGTTATGACAATTTTTTAATGAAAATTTGTTTTAATATTAATAGAGACTCATATTTTCATGATAATATGGGTAGTGGTGGCATTTGGAGCAGCCGTATCTAGCCTGCAGCCATGCTGTGCTGTGCCATGGCATAAGCTGTTCTTCAGACTACTCAATAACTTTCTCACATATAAATTTATAAAGACTTTTATAAGCTTCAATTACATTTTAAAAAGACATAAAAACCCTCTTTAAAGGGTGCTTAAGTGACACATTAGTTTAACTTTCAACTGTACTCCATGAAGAAGGCTTTTGTTACAGCAATGCAAGCTTGGAAATGGATCCCCATTGCCCTGGAAGCTGTTGGGTGAAGCAGTTCAGGACAGAGAGCCAGGAAAGCTCAAGACTCTTGCTCTCTTTTTCTGAAAAAAAAAAAAGGAATGGCTTCTAGGGTTTTTCTCTAACAAAACCCCTTTTTTGTTTTTTTTTTTCCAAATGTGTTTAAGGGGAAAAAAAGTGCCAATACACTACATGAATTTTGGGAAATTAAGAGTCAGCCACTTGTATTCAGTTGCCCGCATTGTAACTGAAATAATTCAAAGGGTCCCAGACAAGCTTTTAGTTCTCATGGACCAGCCCTATCCCAGGTAGCTCCCAGGCAGGGAATCTTTCCTAAAAGGTAGCGCTGATGGAACTTCCCTGATGTTTTGGAGGTTAAATAGATTAATAACATGAGGTTATTAATAACATGAGGACTGAGGTTGCTGGGGCAGAAGCTGCCATGCTATGATTCCCTCTCAAAATCCATTACTTGCCTCAGCCTTTAAGATTTTTGGAGCTAGAACCCAGCCCCACCATCTCAAGCTCCTCATGCTTTTTATTGAGGATCCCATAGAAGGCACCACTGTGGACCAAGAGAGAGCTACTGAGCACAGGAGATGAGACTGTTTTACTGCTATTGCCTGAAACCTTCTCCTTGTACACTGTGACTTCATGCCAAAATGAGGATGCTCTTGTGCTATCACTTCATCCCGGTGACCAACAAATGTGGATTCAGTGCTTAAGGCTTGGGCTCAGAGGCCTGCAGTCTGTTTTTCACCCCTGGTTTTGATAGCACCCCTGTAATACTGACTCCAGGGTTTACCACAAGCAGTAACTGCAAGAAGTACAACTAGCAAGTTGTAGATCTGACAGGCAGCATATCCCAGACCCTGGTAGAGCACAACAGAAAGATTTCTTAACTCTTTGCTCATGAGAAACTAAAGGCGGCCAAGCAACAGTACTTTCATCTGAGATTAGATGAATGCAAGAGACTTCACTGTTAGGAAATTTTTCCTGTCACCCATGTATCTTTATTCTCTCTCCTCAACTTCTCCCAAGTGTTCCTAGTCATGTTTTGTTGCCTTGAGCCCAAACTATTCCCTTATTATTGCAAACAATCTTCAGATACTTCTGGACAAAATTCACCCTTTCTTCTTCTCCCTCCACCCCCTCATTCACTGGTCATGCTGTGGATACTTTATTCATTGACGTCCTTCGTCCCCTCCAGCTCCTTTTGTTCCCCACCCTGTTCCTCTACCAGGTACATTTTGGAGCCCTGTCTGTGTGACTGAAGCCTCCCTGACTCACCGCTTTGAATACAGGCTGTTGCCTGATCTGCTTGGCTACATGTTGACAGTCTTTCAACTTAACATGATAGTGATTTGGCTGGTAGGAGCTACCCAGGAGAGAGGATCTGGAAGTAATACAAGAGGATGCTCTCTGTGTTTTGGGTTACTCAAGGGACAGGCAAACAGCTGGCTTCTGCTACTCGGACTGCCTAATATCTTTGATGTAAGTTGTTTCCCAGCTCATGTAGATGAAGAATAAAGAAGGGAAAGAAAGATGACTTGCTTGAAAGAAAAGCTTGAAAGAAGTGCCTGGTCATCGATATAACTAATCTAAAACCCTTAAGCAATTTACTGGGGAAGATGAAGGTCAGGGCTCAAAGTTTTCCAGAGTTCAATCAGCAGATGAACTCCTCTTTATACTCACTCCTTAAACACTTATTGATGTAAGGAGGGATAAGGTGTACTGAACACATTAGCTATTGTGAACTATTAATATTTACATTATGTCAATGTCCAAAAGGACTCAAATCAAACTACAGACAATGTTGTGAGAAGCTCCTTAACAGCACCAACTCAAAGAGCTTGTAGTTCATATAATCAAGGTAAACATGGACTAGAAAGGAAATTGATTTTCCTGAGAACTTATGGTTCACTGATCCAGAAAGACAACAAGTACAGTTGTATTTTGTCTTCTACCCAGTACCTTTTTTGTTAAATGATTCCCAACTCTTAATTTATTACAGACTTTTGGTTTTGTTATGAAAAACAGTAATCACATGCAAAGCCTGCCGGTAGCTGAAAGTATTATAGTTTTTCCCTTCAATAGAACACGTGATTATTTTTTTTCCTATTTGGTAAGGGTTTTTTTTTCCTCCTTCTTCTAAGACATGAATTATAAGACAGACGTGAATTATTTATAGCCTGCTGACAGAACTTCAGGATTTCTGCTGGTGTACTACTAACCTGAAACAGCAAAAATTGGATAACGGTTCAGGCTTGTCCTTTAAAAAAAAAAAAAAAAAAAGTGAAACCTTCAGCAGGGCACTGGAAAGGGAAGATGGGCACTGGGAAAGAAAACAGGAGTGGTGTTTAGATCACTAAAAGTCTTTCCCACACTCTTTCTTTTTATGCCAGGAATTCACAAATGTCTGCCTAAGACATGAGAAGCTGCCCTATTTGTGACCACTTATTCTTTGGGAGTATTTGAGGAAATCCCTCAGAGTGAGCACAAAAGGAAGCACTCTCAGAGCTTGATTTAAAATCTAATTAAATTTAAACACTTCTTATTTTCAAGACTGCAGCTTACCAACTGAGATGTTTCTCATGACCTGGAAGTGTTTTATAGATCAGCATTCGGAAAATCTTGGCAAAGTTTGCAATTTGCCCCACTAAATCTCTGACTGGGGCTGGCCATCAATCTCACTTGAAACATCAGTGTCCACCTTGAGCTAGATCCTTATTTCTACAAAGGCCAGTTTATATCCCTCTGCTAATTTGAAGAGTGACAAAATAGCAATACACCACAGCCTTCACTTAAAGGCCCACTTAACACTGCCAGAATTGCCCTTGGAGAGGAATCAAGACTATAAATAGGATACCAAGATAAGAAAGACAAGCAGCTTGTTGAGAACATCAGAAAATAATTGCGCTTGGGCAGGCTATATCTAAATTAGTAAATAAAACAAATCAAAGACTGTCTTCTGGCCTGGAGGCCAAATGGCATGCACAATTCTCATAGCTGTCCATGAAACTAAGCTCCCTCCCAAAACCCATATTCCCTATATCCAAATTGCCAGTTGGGAATGGTCCTTCTGCTCTCTCAAACCATGCTTGAGAACCATCTGGGTGAGAACAAGTACCCAGAACAAAATCAGCACCAGAGACCACATGGACAACAACACAGACTAATGTATTCCAGCACTCAGGATTTTGATCTGGTTTAGGACCCAGCAGAGAGGATTCCTGGGACTGTGTTCAGCTCTCTCAATATAAAACACAGCATGCAACATCCATGCTGATTTTCTGGAAATGGAATGGTTACTTACAAATGAAGAGACATACGGTGGAAAACAAGATAGCTGCCACAAACACTGCCACCAGAAGCTTGACTGAAGGCTGTGCAAGATACCGCCAGGATATCTGTGGAAGGAACGAGATGACTTCCCGTCTGCCCCGTGACAGAGCCGTCGAGATCCTCAAGGATGGCAGAGTGAGGAAAGGGGAAGGACACTTGGAAAGGTGAGTTGATGAAGGTCAGCTGCTGAACTCCCACTGTAAACCCACCTGGGGGGAACAAGCAGCGTTTCAGAAACAGAGACTGACCTCTTCAAGTAATAGACCTGAAGACATCTCTGGAGAAAAAGAGACCAGCTTCATTTGACCTTCACTTGGGAAAAATATCTGTTGAGTCATCGAGAAGGGAAGATTCAGAATCATAAATAAACAAATAGAGATGGTTGTAGGAATTGCCATTGTCATGCTATGGCCAGGTCCTACCTGTCCAGTGCCCTTTTGTGACAGAACTTGTGGTTTCAGAATCATAAATAAACAAATAGAGATGGCTGTAGGAATTGTCATTGTTGTGCTATGGCCAGGTCCTACCAGCCAGGTCCTACTTGTCCAGTGCCCTGTTGTGACAGAACTTGTCGGTACAGACTCCTCTGACCCAGGTGCTGTTCCTGGCCCTACCAGCATCTCCTTGGTGACTTTGAACGCTTCTTCAGAAGTGCCACTGCCAAATGTTACAGTCCCCAAATGACTGATTCTTATGGATCCTTTCTGCCTTGTTTATAAGAAATTCTTTAGAGATAAGGTCTGTTTATGTGTGTGTAAATATACTTGTGTGCATATGTATAGCACCTGGCACAGTAATACCTGGGTTGCAAAGTGTGGCTGGAGGTTTTTTCATTACTATGATGCAGATAGCTACAAAAATAAGGAATATTCATGTGGGCTAAAGCACAGGAAGTTTTTGAACACATTAATATTTTCAGAAGTGACAGAAAATCATTGCCCCATGGACCATAACAAGGCAGCTTTGGCATGAGCATTCAGGTACCACATTTAGTTACCATTTGACTCTCATATTGTCAGTTGTAGCCTCTCTGAGTCATATTCTACTATTCCCCTTTTCTTTGATCTCACCTCCTGAAGTCTTTTTCTCTGTTATGTTATTGTAGGGCACTATGCGTTTATATATAAATATATTTAAGAGGTAATTGCAGTTGGAACATTTATCAAAGAGCCTTTGGGTGCCTCTTCAAAGCTCAAAAGGATGCTTAGTTTACACATTATCTTAGGCAAATTCACCTAAGATTTAGGCTGGCCTGAGGTAGGAGCTTGGTGAAATTCTGCAAGGTTGTGTCATAGCTATTAAAGAAACCATCGCTCTTGAAATTCTACCTCCCAAAACGAAGAAGCAGTAACAAGACAGTGCATAAAAACCCCTTCCTGTGAGAAAATGAAATCAGTGCAAAAATTAGGCTACCTTCATCTTAAAAATACGTGTGGTAGGTGGCTTCAACTAAGTGATGAACTATTTGGTGCAGTGAAACCTAAGGAGAGCAGGTATGCAAGTACCTCAAAACCTACCTCTTGATAGTTCATCTATAGCAAACACTGTGACAAGATTAGAGAAGCAAAACTGGGCAGCCAGTACTCTTCATCATTATACAGAGCTTTTTGTGGGATTCAGCTGAAATATCTATCATTGGTTGTCAGTGAGACAATATGAACTTCTAAACAGCTGAATCTGAAATGGGAGGAAGCCAGGGACTGTGTAAATAAGCATAAATCACACTCACCCTGCCCTTGGTGACAACCAGAACAAGTCCTGATCGCTGCGCAAGTGTTCGCATCAAAGTTCCTGAAAGATGTGTTGGAGATGAATAGCTGGTATCTTTTGGGAGTTTTCAGTCCTGCTGACATACAGGTCCTCTCCTGCAATGAAAAAATGAAGAGCTCTGGGAAACATTCCACCATGTGAGTCTTCAAGTCTAATGGGGATGCAGCAGCTGGGACACAAGGATGTGATTGCACTCAAGCCCACGGTTGTGGAGCAATGTATGCTGTTTGAAGGACAGATCTAAGCTATTTCTTTTCAAATCCTGACAAGTAACATCTGTTTTATTTACCAGTTGCAGTACGTGACAGTACTACATTCAGGGCAGTGACTGCCTTGTTTGCTTTGTCCAGTTTTTGAGTATTAGTAAAGGTTGGACATTTGAAGGAAAAGGAAATTGCACATTCCCTGAGAAGAAAAAATCCACCTGGAAGGCACAGCATTTGTTTACAGTCCTTTTTACTTCACCTTATCTTGTCCAGCAGACAGGAAATTTCACTACTACACAAAGCTAATCATCCCAATTTAAGTTCTAAGAAAAACCTGACTGCTGAGACTCAAAGCCCTTGTGTATTATTGGGGGTGGAGGGAAGCATTTATTCTAGGCTTTCTTCAAAGCTCAGGTTGACATCAGGGTTCATCAGAACAACAAGAAGTTAAGTATATAAGTGAGAGACAGGAGAAAACATAAGACATGAAAAGGAAAAGTAAAAACCAAAAGTGATGGGAAACACAATGGACAAACTAGATTTTTGTGGTGACTGTAGGCCATGATGCAGGGGAGGTGTACATCTCTCTGCCAATTTGTCTTGGAGACAGGCTGGGAAGAAGGATGTGCTCAGAGCTGGTGGGTAGCCTGGAGGGGAAATGGCTGGCAGGAATGCTTGATGCTGTTTCTGAGGCCAATAAACACTTTTGTGGAACAACTCTCAAAAGTGTTAGTAGAGAATCAATTGAGAAATCCACCCTCTGTGGAAACTTAAAATGAATATGTAGAATGAAACGGACTTTTATAAATGGTTTGTCACTTTGAAGAGGTGATGCTTTTGATGCTTCAGTAGATCCATCACCTTTTTCACTCTGAGGCCAAAACACCCGGGGTGATGGTCCTGGTTCTTGGGCGATCTTCTTGAAAGTCACTGTTAAGCAGAAATCCCTGGCTTCTGGTAACAAATTGTTCAGAAAGACTACCATATTTTGCTTACACTTGCCTGTTCTTCCATCCCATCCTCATTTATATTTTTTTTTTAATTAGTTTATATTTTTTTAAGTAGGTAACAAACAGAAGAAGGGTGTGAGATGACAATTCCTGTCACCTGTCTCAGGTCTCCTGCTTTTTCAGGAAGAAATGCTTTTCCTCTAAGGGCTCCACAAGGGCAATGAGTTGCTTTATGAAAGCATGGAAGAGACTTGGTGAATGTCTAGGAAGATAATAAAAGTCTTTCCCTTGGCTTTTGCTGGTCCTTGATTTAGCCCTGCCACTAATGTTTTAATTGATCAAAGCCCCAGTTTTCAAATGCCCTGATATTTCCAGAAAACAAACTTGTTTTAAAGCATTTCCTTCAAAAACTGGAAGGGCTAGCAGAGAGGAATATCCAAGGTTCCCATTAAATTAATGTCATAAAGTTTTAATTGATATTAAAGAGACATCATTATTAAAGGGAGAATTACATAAATTAAGATGTAAATTATGACAAGGGGGCTCTTATCATGAGATAATCAAAGATAATCACCCCCCTGGGGTACTGCAAGAAACAAGGCACAGCTGAGCGCCTCTAAATCTCTTAACAAGTACAACATTGGAGTCCTTCCATGGATCCTGCAAAGCAAAAACAAAGACATCCACCCTTTGGTGTCCAAGAGAAATTCATCGTGTCATTGGGATGCTGCAAGGTTGGACTGGTGAGGCCAGGCTTATATCTGAGCTACATACTTTCAATAGACCCACTACAAGATTTCTTTCTGTGAGCTTCTAAAGAAAACTCATTTAAAACTATTTTTCTGCCAGTCAGAGAGAAAATTAATTTCATAAACAACAATAGAAAACTGAGCAAAGCAAAAAAAAGCCATCAAAATCATGAACAAGCAGCTGTGGCCAGTTGTAACTAAAATTCCATTGTTATCCATGTTATTAATCTGTTAACAACCTGGTAGCACCCAAAGGACTTTGTCCAGCTGCCAAAAGAAATAACAAAAGATCATATTTACTGCATAAATAAAAATGTTACATTTCAACAGCATTTTTCATTCTGAAGTTAAAAAGTAACATTCAGTGTTCCAGGTGGACCAATGATGCCATGAAAGAGCAAAGGAAACCAAAGTGTTAACCAGGATAGAAATCAAATCTGTTGTTCCTCTTCAATATTCTCAAACCACTAAAGTAAACCCAGTTGTGTATTGTTAAATGGAGTCTTTTTATTATAGCAAAGGTGTACAGGAATTTATATTAGACTATTAATTTCTCAAAAATTTAGTTTCTGTAAATTTCTAATGTTTTTCTGAGACCATGTCAATCTTGGAAAAAATACAAGCAGGGAATAGATTAACATTTATCTTACTGCCATCCTTCAGCTCATAAATTGAAGAGAAAGGCGATTTTGGTTTTATTTTTTTATGTTGTTTTATAAAAAATGTAGATTAATATAATATAATATCTTTTAATAGTTCCAAATTCAAATGGGGAAAAAATCAGATCGCTTGTTTCAAATTAAAAAAAAAAAAATCTCTTCTAAACTTCCATACTGAAATAAAAATGTGTTTGGAAAAAATCCTGAATTTTCCTGCAGAGTGCCATCTCCAGTTTCTCAATAGCTGATGTTTATTCAGCTCTACCACCAGCTGGTATGAATGGAGGACAGGAAAAATTATGCAGGATCCAGCTGATCAAATGTTATTTCTTTTCTGCTCCTACTAGCAGAAAAAGCACCAAAATCCTTGGTTCCAGCAGGCTGGGAAAGTGGTACTGATACTCCAGGTTTCTCTACTTTACCACCAAATTAACGTCCCTTGTAGGTGTTGCTACTGAAGGCATCACTTTTCCAGGGAGCGGGACACAGCTAGAGGACTAAACAAACAGATCAGTGTCCAAATTTCATCCTGAAGCTGCATTTGTCTTTACATACAATCCATTTAAAATCCAAGCTTTACCCAAGCTGCCACGAAGCAGAGGCTGTTCTTTAGGTTACTTTTTTATTTCCCCAAATTCCAATTTGAAGGGTAGCTGTGTGACTGGAGACATTGAAATAATTCCTGCAGTTCTTACCTGTTGCCCAGTGTGTCCAATTAAAACGCTATCAGACACAGAAGTGTTTCCCAGGCTTTCTACGATATCAATGCCAAAATCTTTGCAAGCATAAATCCAGAAATGTTGGATTTCAAGGTTGCTGCTTCTAAAAATCTATATGAAAGCATAATAGAGGAATAATAATCAATAATAATTAAAAGATTGACTTATAACTCTGCTTTCCTTACAACACAATAGAAAGTAAATGTGAAAAAACACATAGAAGAGTTGAATGTATATTTCGTATTTGAGAAACTCCCCCTAATATCTAATTTCTGCTTTCAATTAATAATACAACAACCTTTGCATTCTGTTAACTTATGTTCATGTTAAAATAAAAAGTACAGTATGCAGGGAAATCAGAACTGATAATAGCCATAGATAGGGTAAAAGTGCTCTACAATTGGGGGGTTTCAATTGGAAAGAATTAGGGTAAAGAAATTAATGTTTGTAGCAGAAAGATTCTACACTGAAAATAACCAGAGGTGTTGCTTACAGTCACCTAACAGCAAGAAGACTGTTCCTAGAGGGAGCCCATGGAAAGAGGCAGAATAAACTTAGTTATTAATGTATGCTAGGTCAGTAACATACATAGAAATTCCAAGGTAGGCAGAGAAAACCACAAAAACAAAGCTGCAAAGCAACCTTTTGTTTTATTTCTTTTCATACAAATAAGCTTTTCCAGAAAGAGAATGCACCGGTCTGAAAAAATAAGCTGAAATATTGGACAGCTTCAAAGGAAGAGCCATAGGATGGGTTGGACTAGAAAACACACCTACAGAAAAACACATATGGTCTGTCCAGGTTATCAGATGGGAGGTTTAGAGCATCACAGCTGCTGCACACCAGTGTGGGCAGAAAGTATCAGGTAATAAAGGGTGGTGTGGGTTTTAAATCAGATTAAGTAATAGGGAGCTACAATATCTGGAAAGTGAAGCTAGACAAATTCAAAGAAACAAAAAAAGTAAGAAGTGAACATCTTTAACAAGGATGAAAAAATTCCCACTGAGACCATTAACACTTTAGAGTAAAAGAGGGAAGATTTAGATCAGATATAAAGAAGAATTTTTTTACATTGAGGGTGGTGAAACACTGGCCCAAGTTGCCCAGAGAGGTGTTTGATGACCCGTCCCTGGAAACATTCCAGATCAGGTTGGACTGGGGTCTGAGCAACCTGATCTAGTTGAAGATGTCCCTGCTTATGGCAGGGGGTTGGATTAGATGATCTTTAAGGTCTCTTCCAACCCAAACCAGTCTATGATTCTACTCTATGATTCTATGATCACTTTATTTTGCACATTCTTTTACCTTTATTATTTTTCTCTTCTGTTGCTGTTCTATTAAACAGTCTTTATCTCAACTTATTAATTTTTCTCCTCTTTTTTCTGCCTCTTCTCCCTATCCTACGGAGGCGTGGGGAGTGAGTGAACAGCTGTGTGGTCCTGGTTGCCTACTGGGGTTAAACCATGGCAGCATCACAGAGGATGGTCAGAACAAAGGTACCTGTGCTCCACCTTGGTTGCTCCAAGCTGTGAAGTTGTTGAACTGCACAGGTCTGTTTGGGCTCTTTGGCAAATATTCCGGGTACACCAGCAGCCCGTACCTGTTTAGGAAAGAAAGCAAAGGAGACTGTTTCTTCACAGTGCATGAATTCAGGGGCTGATTTTCCTTTTCATCATGTTGATATCTAAAATCTTATATCCATAACAGTTCTCTGCGTGAAACTTTATCGATAATTTAATACAAAATAAAAAATCAGTGGACAGCAAATATATTTTTTTAGACACCTGGTCATGCCAGAGAGCATATTTAAAACTTCTTTTTTTCAAACATTTTCAGAATTATCCGCACGAGGGCTTACAACCACCGTGCAGCACCACTGGCAGGTCCTCACTGCAGAAAACCCTCACCATGCTCAGGAGCTTTCAAACATTGTCAGTTTCAGATGAGCCCAACATGAATCTGATAAGGATCTTCTAGATCCTGGATTCAGCCAGCTTGGATTATGTTTCAAATTGTCCTGGTCCACAACACAAATGTACAACACACAAATGTCCTGAATGCAGTCCTTGGTTTCACCTTCTCAGAGATTTTAAATCCAGATTAATACCCAGATTTCCTCAACATTCAGGTGAATTTTTTCCATTGACTTTTAGCACAATGTCATTTTTTACTATCGCCTCTGTCTTACGGAAGTACAGGAAAAAGCTCTGGTGAAGTTCCTGGATGTTCTGTGTAATGTCTGACACATGTATAGCACCTTTTATCCTGTTGGACTACGAAGTGCTTAGTCTCTACTTCAATCTACCTAATTAGAGGCCAAACTCTAATATTTGAATGTTCATGCTGCTATGGAGCATGCTATAAAGCATCTGGAGGTCAGAAATGCCACTCCAGGTTGTCCTAGCTGGTATCATGTCTCTAATGGTGGCCTACAGGAGGTGTTAAAGGAGTGCAAGAAAGAAATTGTGTATCTGTTCTTCTACACGTCACCCTCTTCTGCTAAAAACGTCTGGTACGCTTTAAAAATGAGCTTTAAATTTAACACATGAGCGCACACTTCAGTGCTTTGCTGTTAAATGGTTGATGAGGAAATGTGTTAAATGTGGCACCTTAAACTACATCAGGATCGTTTAAACAAGGGGGTAAATTGGACGAGCTTGTTAACAGCACTGGAAATGCTGTAAGTTCACAAATCAGGCTTGCAAACAAAAAAGGGACTGTATTGAAACTAATAAGGAAACAATTCATGATCAGGCTCTGAAAAACAATCCCAACCACATCGCTGTCAAACACTGATTCAGCTCTGCTGTGGAGAACTCTGCTTAAAGAGAGGAAGCCCTAAGAGGGTGAAAATTGGGAAAAAAAATCCTGAAAGGAGGGGCAAAGCCTTTTCTGCTCACCACTGCAATCATAGTTAGCACTACCGTGCACTGACAGCAAATCTCTTGAACCAAAAAAGTACCCAAGTACCAAAAAGTACCCAAAGATCCCCAAGTACCTTGTGCAGGAATGAGCTACGTTCTCGCTGAAGGACAGGAGAGGCATTTTGGATGGTCCCTCAGGGGAGAGATGAAAGAAATAGCCATACCCAGCAGCACACACTGTGTTACCCTGCAGAGAAGCATATGTGACTGTGAAAAAAAAAAAGGTTACCAGAATTTTCTGGAAATTAAAATAAACTTAAGAAAAACACAAATGAAAATCTCAGCTGAGGTCCATTCAAATTCTGGTAAGCCTGACTGGCAGAAGCTGGTTCCTTGTTCTGTGTCCTCAATTTCATCCTGTTTTTGCTCTGTCCTTGGACCACTCTTAAAACAAACCCTGTTCTCAAGCCAGGCAACAAGGGCTGGCTAAGCAATAGAAATAAAGGACAGAAAAATGGTACTCCCATAATTCTTCAGAAAGTAGGTAAACATGTGGAAAACTTCTTAACCCTACAAAATCCTTTCTAAGTAAGAAGGCCATGTCACGAAAGAAAGGTAAATCACAGACTACTCAGTGTATTGATTTACTTCTCAGTCTGTATATTCCTCATACCTCCCAAAGCAAATACAGCAGAAGGAAGCAACATTGGTCCGGAAATGTGAGACCCCTAAAAGTCAAGAGAAAGCAGAGAACTACATCTTCAGGGTATGTCAGTGGCTGAACCACAAAACTTACTCAGACTTGTGGCGAATCACTTATTTTGGATTCTTTTTGACAGGGTAAGTAAATAACCATGGGAAGATGTGTTGTAAGTTATATCATTTAATACAGCTTAATGAATTATAGAATCATTTTGGTTGGAATAGACCTTTAAGACCATCAAGTCCAACAGTTGTTATTGCAAGTGGTGGAAAAAAAAGTGAAAGTAATATCAGCCTGGTCTTGAAATTAGGTACTTATACAGTCTGTAGCAAGCGGGTTATGTGGGTGGTGGTCAGTGGGTTAGGAGCTTTCCCAGTCTGGGGAAAAACTTGTTCTTACCTGCTTATTTAGACAGCAGCCAAACTGAGATGGTTTTGCATGGTGTCCATACCATGTTTTCATGTGCACATCTGGCCATGATCCTTCTCATCTACCTTAGATGTGTGAAAAATTGATGCTGAAGTCCAGGCTAGTAAACCTAGGCTCCCTTCCCAGGAAAAAATAAGGCATAGGCATGTCCAGAGGGCAATTCATCTGGTCTATCATTATATAATTGCTATCTGGAGGTATCTAGTTCTTTAAGGGCAGTCTGAGATGAGCTATAAGAGCTTGTTCTCTAAGACAGGGACTGACTGACACCCACCACTACCATTCATAGGTCACCGGACAGTGTTAAAACACTAATGACTTTCTGGTCCCTGATGGTCCAAATCAAAGCCAAGCCTGGTGACCTAGAGGTGAAAGCCTCCATATACCAATTACTTTCTTCTGACCCATCCAAGTGTATTCCCTGTGGTTGTGATCTCTGACACCTGTCAAGCAACAAAGAAGTATCAATACCCCAGACTCCATCCCCTGGTAAAACTGCTGCTTTTACCTGAAAGTGTAGCCACAGACCATTTTCCTTTAACAAAATGCTTCTGCAGTCCAGTCACATTATTTCCAGGGTCTTTTACTTGCGACTCCAATCGTGCGTTCTACAGATGATTCATAAGGAAAAAAACCTGCATATTTATTCAGCCAGCGAGTGGCTGGAGGGCAGGGGTTTTAGGCAAGCAGGGAATTTTGTGTGGAAATCAATTCTTTGTGGAAGTCAGTATATTACGAATGTCCATGCAACCAAAATTCCAGAGAGAAATTATCTCCCTGAGCATGCCAAATACCTGGAGGTATGCTCTGCAAGTCAGTAAAATAAAGTGGTTGACGTTTTAAGTGTCTCTTAACCGTACAACACTGCTAATGTAAATATTTCATGAATTTCTTTTAGATGGCCAGGACTCAAACTCATGACCTTAAAGATGACATTAAAGCTCTGCAGAATGGGCCCAGCACCGCTCCCCCAGTTTTCAGAACCTGGCAGGATGCAACCCCAGTGGGCTTGCTTCAATATGTGCTCACCTTGCAGAAAGCTTTAGAAAAGATCTCACTAGGGATGAAATGGTGGGAAACAATTGATGCCAAATGGATGCAGCCTCACCTCTTTGGTACCTCAGACAATGGCTGGGTTGGGTAATATTGGGAAATAAATTCATTTATCAACAGCACAGTGACCATCTGTCACTCCTCTCATAAGGAAACATGGATTGATCTCCTCCCTGTTCATTCATTAAGCTGTTTCCCAGTCCCCAACATCATGACAAGCAAGGAAAGGGAGGATGCTTGTTGAATTTCTTAAATCCAGGCTGTATGTTGTTGTGCATGAGCACTGCATGCTGGCTCTGGGATTTAAGGGCATTTAATTTTTATGAATAGGAAATTACTATAAAAGGTCCAAGATCCATGGGACCAAGAAAACCAAGAGAAGATAAAAAAGCCAGTATCAAAGAGGAGCATCTTCAGTTCCTCATGTTCATAGCACTTAAAAGGCAAGAAACCAGCCTGCTAGTGAAACTGTCTTACAACACTAAGAAGTAATGACCAGAGCTTCCAACTTTATTTAACACCACAACCTAACCTTGTAATAATCATTTTGCACTCATACTGTACAAGTATAAAATTTCACCTAACACCTGGATTCACAAATGCACTTAAAAGCTTAAGTCAAATGGAAACCAGTGGGAACTGGGTCTCCAAGGGTCTTTGTAGGCTCAGATTTGAGTAACTGCTCTGCCCCAATTTCAACACCATTTAGGAAACCACTGATTTTCCAGGAAATTTAAGCTCTTCAGTCACCAATGCAAATTTCGGCTCCCAAGTAAATTGAGCAGTTATGAAAATGTTAATGCAGGACTCACTGTGGAAAGCTTAACCCATCATGCACATAAGATGTAACACGGTTTAGACCTAGAGCTCTCTGTCTAATTTAGCAGCAATCCTTGCCTTGAAGATTGCAGCCTGTAAGTTTAAAACCAGTAATTGAACAATGACAATTTGAAAACTATGAACAAAGAGAAAAACTTACAAGGACCTAACATTAAAACCTAGAGGGGGAAATTTTTATTCCATGTCATGGCCTGGAAACCAGGCAGTGGGATGATGAGTTTTTCACTTTACACTCTTCAAATCTCCCTATTAAATTAAGATTTAAAATACCGACAAAGCAATATACACTTCTTGAGCAACTTGATCAGATAAAAGGCGCTGAAACTGTAACAACACAATGCTGGTGCTGGACCAACATCCCTTGCATTTCGTGATTACTATTGTACTAACAAAAAGTTCACAAGACACAGGTGTTTTGCTTAGAAAATATGTTATTTTTTTCATGTAGAAAATATCCTTGTCCTTTCATATCTTCTGCTGAGCAATGATTGGTATTGCAGAACAATAAGTGCAGCTAATAACAATTTTAAGCGAGGC